CACTGTCCACTGTTTCTCCTTTGTTCGAGCGTTAAGTTCGTTGAACCTTGAGGTCTGGAATTCTCTCCTAATTAAGGCCCTCATTATGTGGAAAGACATCGGCCGGTCCATGCATTACAAAATCGTTGTCCCATTCTTAGCAAGTGTGTCAGCAAGCTCATTGCCTTTAATGCAACAGTGACTAGGAATCCATTGTAGGACCACTGTTTTGTTTTTCTCTCTCAGCAGCTGATAAAGTTTTTACATTCGTTTATCTCAGCTGTTTTGGGTGGTTCTCTGCTTCCAATTGAATTTATTGCTGACGGTGAGACCGAAAGTACCACCGCTTTGGTGAATTTCGTACCCAGGCAACATAATTGGCATAGTGCTATCCTAATGGTCTTTATTTCTCCTTCGAAAACGGATCTATTATGTTCGGCTGCTGCGTAGAAAGAGGAGAGTTCAGAATAGACACCTGCACCAACGTTTGCTTGGTTTTCTATGTATGACCCATCAGTGAAGACTTGGAGCCATTGAGCTGGAGGATAGTTGACATTGATTGTCTCAAGGGCCAGTGAGCGCATTTGTTCTGGAGGGGTGTTTGATTTCCTGAAGTAGTCAAGGAGTTGGGTGCAACACACTGCATCAGTGTCTGCTAATGGGTTCATGGGTACAGGGAGGCTTTTGGTTTGTCATCGATTTGTAATTCTTTCTTTAGTTCTATGGCTTTCAGTATTAGACCAGATTGCGTTTTTTCAGATGTCTTGGTCTATTCTCATTGGTGCTGAAGAAATTATCCATGGGAATGCGCAGTAGCTTCTTATACAGGAATGCCCCGTGGGAATGCGTAGTAGCTTCTCATACAGGATCAAGGCCTTTTCTTTGATGAGGTAGCTTCTCATACAAGATCAAGGCCTTCCAATGCGCAGTAGCTTCTTATACAGGATCAAGGCCATTTCTTTGATAAGGGAACATATTGTGGTGCATCCTGTAACTAGGAGCAAAAAAACTGTTTGTATCGTTAACATAGTAACTTTGAAAGTAAATAATATTATATATGGTATTGAATAATCTGAATTGTCAAGCAGTGCCCTAACTGTGAATAGCTCGGACCTTCGTGTTGACCAATACATTCTAAATACTGAAATGAATTTGCTACGTTAAAATTCGATGTAAGTGAGAAATTTGAAAATATTCGACATTATGAAACATTAAACAGCTTGTGAGCTTAACAAATGAAAAACACAATTTATGTATGAATGGGACGACAGCCTCATTTACCCGATAATATTTAGCAAAGCTATTATGTAGTTGAGGTTCCCACATAGAAATAACAATCAACCTTTTGTCCAAATTAGAGCCAGTGCAGATGGGAGGCTTTGTGGCCTAATAACGTGCTCCTAAAGGTGTTAACTACACATTATCAAATATTTCCACTTATAATCTGAAGTCCCATTTAAGTGCAACAAAAATACTAATACAGAATATTTGAAGAGTCCAGATCGCACACATGGCAATCTCAATTATTTATTTCAAGAAAATATAAATGTAAAATAATTAAAATTACTTATATTCCCTTATTATTTGCTGTCTGTATTTCATTGACGAAAATTTGTATCACTGATCGATAATATTAAAATTTCTTATCAAATTTAACAAGCCAAACTTAGATGCCTATCTAAATTAAATAAAATAATTATCAACTATTAGTAAAAAACAATGAGTCATTTAAAAGTTCAAAGTCTTCGGTCTAATTGTTTTTCCGAATGCACGTGATTGTTCTAGTTGGTCATTCCTTAGCGCTCATTCATTGAATTGCCGTTGCAGATAGTAGTTATGTCGTCTTCAGTGCCAAATTCGAGTGATGGCTTCTTCGAGGCTCATGCGCTACATCCAGTTGACACAAGTAGAGCTAAAGATGGTGTCTGGTTAGTGAAAGTCCCCAATTATCTATGTGACCTGTGGATGAAAGGAAATACCGAAAAAGTTGTCGGGGAAGTTGTGATAACTGCTACCGACCCAAATTCTAACAACAAGGACCAATCGAATGTTTGTTTGGTAACTGACGATGCTTTGATTGCCGAAGCCGGGGAAAACAGTGATTTCATTCCTAAGGTATGCTTATTTTGTGAATATATTAATTGCCTTCTAAATATATTTTCTGTAGAAACACAAATTTCTTGTTCAAATGCTGTCATCTGAACATCCTTCGGACAAGAAGAGTTCTCCTGGAAATGTGTCGGCTATGGTAGGACAAGAGCTCGTTGTTCTCTGTGAAGAAGATATTCCCCAAGTTTCTAATGACCCTAGTTCCTCGTTGGCCATTTCGTCGCAAAGAAATCGATCCAGCAGACGCTATTCATTCTTTGGGCGCGTTAACAGTCGTGCTGAATGTCGTCCTCCCGATAATCTTAGATACATGAAGCTTAAGGCTGAGCAGGTTCGTTTATAACCCCCCTCCCTTTTCTTCAGCTCACCATTTTATCAAACTACTTACTTTCCGCATTGTGCCTCGCTTCAGCTTAAAGCGAAGAATCGTGCCAAACACAATATTTGTATCTTGGAGAAGCCAGTGCAGACTAATCTACCTGTTTCGAAACCGGTATTTGAAGTGCAGCTCGAGAATCGCAAAAAGACCGAGGGCAAGAATTTGCGTCGTGAACGTGAAGATGTGCTACAGGATCTTTTCAAGGCTTTCGAAAGGCATCAGTATTATACCTTCAAGGACTTGGTCAATCTCACTAAACAGCCCGCTGTAAGTTGGCATTAGGCTGATTTGGGATTTACTTCTCTTAATATTGAGGTTGTGACTGTTTTTTCTTTTACAGAACTACTTACAAGAAATCCTGAAGGAAATTGGAGTTTTCAACTCGCGTCCTCCTCACCAAAATATGTGGGAATTAAAACCAGAGTATCGCCATTATAAAGAGGCTTCAAAAGACTGAACTTGTATTTTTGTGTTATGTTGTTTATTTCGTTGTAAATATGATTATTTTTGTACTTAAGTCACTTTTTTCTCCTGTCTTGTTTTATGCGCAACTTTTTTATTTATGCACTCGGTGATATGCTGAAGCCTGCTTCATTTTCCCTTTATCTTTTTGAATGTTTGGGGATATTTGGGCTCCAATGGGTTCATTGCATCAATGATCGATCAAGACTTGTTAGCGAAGTTAATTATGTTTGCGTGGTGAAATATCATAAATCAGAGAGTTTTTGCTCAGTTATTGAATCTAGAACCCGCATCCTCCATCACAGTTGATTTCATTGTTTTGGAGGTAAATTCCACTTTCTGTGACCAAAGAAAGGGTAAGTTCTTTACGAATAAATGATGCTTGCTTAAGATAAACTTCCCTTTTTATCTTATTAATTGCAAACAGCACAGCATGATACAACGTTATCTAGTTAGTTATATTCTCTGGGCATTCTATACATGGTTTCCAGTACTTTAGGGATTTTACACACTAGGGTCTGTACAAGGTTGGGTTTACATGGAATGAATGTTTATGAGGTATACAAAAAATGCTGTGTCCGCCCAAATTTCGCGTTTATTTTTTTGAAGGAAATTTTCTTGTGAAAGTTCTATACTCTTACTCTTTTGACTTAATGTCTTAAATAAGTTCAATTTTCTAAGGTGCGGGGTGTGTGATAGAATTACCTCCACGTGGTGCACCCTGGGCAACGTATACTCATACACCTCCACGTGGTGCACCCTGGGCAACGTATATTCATATGGCAAAAATGTCTATCAGTCGGTCTGACTTCAAACCACCATCACCCCACTGTATGTCATATTCGTCTACTTCCATAGTACTCACCTCACCTTTTCACTCTACCTTTGTGTCTGTCTTGAAGGCAACTAAATTGTTAATGATAACTATCAATACGCTTGCAATTTGATATAAATAAATAATTAAATATTCTAAATGCTTTAAATTCCTAAGTCGCCTTCCATTTGCAAACAGGCACAACTAATAGTACAACTGTATCTACAACTTACAGAGACGAACTTTTTATCAATGCCAACAATTTCGGCGATACTTACTGAGAAGAATATATTCTTACTGAGTTAAGAAAGTGTTGCTTTGCCTATTGATGCAAGGTCGATTTAAGAACTTTATGTCTAATTGCTGACCTCTACTGACCTCACTTCATTACTGTTGAAGTACATCCCAGTTTTAATTGTCTTGTGCATTTTATTTATGTCTTCATTCTAAAATGGTAATGATCTGACCTCTAGGTTAATAACACGAAGACTAAACATCATTTTAACATGAAGTACAGGTTTGCACTTTACTAATTTAATCGTTGTGCAATTCTTCTACATTAATCTGGCATTGTTTCATGATATGTCTAAGCTACTGTTCTTTACGCTTACTGAAATAGCTTAAAAAATATCGTATTGCTATTATTATTATTATTACCCATGGTAAATAGGGAAAATAATTTCACAATTTTTAATTCTGAGGAGCTACTGAAGTCGGTTGATTGTAAGTTCACGGAATCATAATGGGAGGAGGGGGTGGAAAAGATGCAGAGAGGACTGTCTAGACAACGAAGATTGTTGGTTCATTTGGTGTCTGGGTTGGAGTTGTGGAGTATTTCTCAAATGTGTATTTCACTTTCCCAAAATTGAATTTCGTGATTTGTCCCCCATGATTAAATCAATGAATTGTCCACAATTCTCAGTGCTTGTTCATCGTCTTGTTGTTCTATTCTAGATTTTTGTACAATGCTTGATAAAGCATATCGTTTTGATGATATTAGCAGGTATAATAAGAATTGCCATCGCCACTCATTACAGCCACAGAGGTGACTCTCAAACCACTCGAGAAGGCGCACAACCAAGCATTACGACTTATTACTGGAGGGATAACATCAACGCCCATTGATGCAATGCTCCTAGTTACAGGAAGCACCACAATATGTTCCCTTATCAAAGAAAAGACCTTATTCCTGTATGAGAACCTACTGTGAATTCCCATGAATAAATTCTTCAGCACCAATGAGAATAGACCAAGACATCTGAAAAAACGCAATCTGGTCTAATACTGAAAGCCATAGAACTAAAGAAAGAATTACAAATCGATGACAAACCAAAAGCCTCCCTGTACCCATGAACCCATTAGCAGACACTGATGCAGTGTGTTGCACCCAACTCCTTGACTACTTCAGGAAATCAAACACCCCTCCAGAACAAATGCGCTCACTGGCCCTTGAGACAATCAATGTCAACTATCCTCCAGCTCAATGGCTCCAAGTCTTCACTGATGGGTCATACATAGAAAACCAAGCAAACGTTGGTGCAGGTGTCTATTCTGAACTCTCCTCTTTCTACGCAGCAGCCGAACATAATAGATCCGTTTTCGAAGGAGAAATAAAGACCATTAGGATAGCACTATGCCAATTATGTTGCCTGGGTACGAAATTCACCAAAGCGGTGGTACTTTCGGTCTCACCGTCAGCAATAAATTCAATTGGAAGCAGAGAACCACCCAAAACAGCTGAGATAAACGAATGTAAAAACTTTATCAGCTGCTGAGAGAGAAAAACAAAACAGTGGTCCTACAATGGATTCCTAGTCACTGTTGCATTAAAGGCAATGAGCTTGCTGACACACTTGCTAAGAATGGGACAACGATTTTGTAATGCATGGACCGGCCGATGTCTTTCCACATAATGAGGGCCTTAATTAGGAGAGAATTCCAGACCTCAAGGTTCAACGAACTTAACGCTCGAACAAAGGAGAAACAGTGGACAGTGGCACTCTCTGATATAGCCGACTGGACAAGAATCGAAGTCGTTGCTGAGTTTAGACTACGTACCGGACACGATTGCTTGGCAAAACACCTCCACAAATTGGGAGTATACACTCAACCCACATGCCCCCTTTGTAACCTACAGGAGGAAATGGAGAAGACCCACCTGATTCGATGTCCAGCCCTAAAGACAACGACGGAAACCCAGAGATACTGGGAAGCAAGAAGACAGCTAATGAACTGCTATTAATTAACTGCTATGAATGTACCCCCCCCCATCCTTAGGGGATGATGAAGTCAAAGTTTAAGTGCTAATGATAAATATCATAAAGCATGGCATTTGAAAAAAATTTTACTGTGCTTTCTTTAATAATTGTGAGTGATCAAACTCAGCAATTAATTACTTTTCGATAAAATGGTTGAATAATCGCATTCAATATGAAAATATTTTATTAAATTTTTAAAATTTTTTGAGACTGGTCTGTATTTCCTTTTGTTCAGGGCATCTATTACAAGGTCAGACTACTATCTGACCTACTAGGCAGTATTTTCCTAAATTCCTTAATCATTCCGCTTAAATTTTGACTGAAAATGTGGTTTATTGAAATATAGCACATTTATCAAATTAAATGAAGTTCAATTCGAAAGATATTTGTTTCACTTTAAACTACCAATTTATATTATTGGATTTCTTCGTTAAACGCATCGACTTCTCCTGCATCTGATTTTTCCGATATAAATTATTTTTACTAACATCCAAAATGAAATAAATATATTTTGGAATCATCTGCCAGCCAATCTCTTTCATTAAGAACTATTATGACTCTCACTATGCACTAATGTAGTTTTAGAAAATGGTACGCATTCAATTATGACAACTTTTTAAATAAGGCTTAATGTTAATGTCACGTACTTTTATACTGATGATTAATTGAAGATTCTAACCGATGTCAGCAAATAATATGTAATAAACACAAAGTTCTGGATGCATTAAAATTCAATTCCCAGTATAACAACTCTACCATTATTTTACGGTGTTAGATGTGCCATCCAATAATTATTTCACTTTCTATATCGTTCTGCGGACTGAGACAAATATATTCAGGTAAATATGACTTTCGGGACCAAATATTACACATAAAAACTGAAATAAATGTATGATAAAACAAATATGGAAGGTTTCCATCTATAAAGTACACAGGGATTGAAAGTCAAAACCATTTAAAAATTCAATTTTCGACGAATAAAAAGAATTGTTATAAAATGCATGGCTTTTATGCTATATTTATTGAATTCATAAAACGACGTCACTTCATTAACTGTACTTAATCAATTACCCGTTATGATCATAGCAGTATCTGATTCGCCTTTTTATATATTCATAACTAAAACAGCCGTCAACGTGTTTATATGTTAAGTTTGTAACATTTTAGTACACTACTACCAGAACTCTGAACGCAGATTCTAGTTCACCTTTTCGCTTGAATTAGAAATATCATCCGCACTGATCATTGCATTTATACTCTGTCTTTGATGAAATAACTCATTATCCAGTGTGACGCTCAGTACCGATTTATCCTTTTAGTGTTAAAATAACAGCATGGATTGCAAAAACAGTTCGCTTTAAAAATATTCCCGTTTAATCTTAGTTGTCAAAGCATTAATATGGCATCTAGTCAGTCCTCAATTACGTAAAATCAAATTTGCTTCTAAGTCATTTAAATCAATACATAGAAAGAAAAACAACTCCAATTTATTGAAGAAAATATTAATACAAAATAGTTTTTTTGCGTTCTTAATGATTAAGCAAATCCCATAGTCGATGCCTATTACAGATGATAAGCGACGTGACCTATTGCTTCAGCTTAAGAAGGATCTCAAATTTAATCAGCAATAAACCGGTCAATAATTGTGATTCACACTTCATTTAATTAATTTTCACATAAATATATTTCACATAGTGAGAATGTATAACAAAGTGAATATAATGTTTCATGTCATACGCAAATATAAGTAAAAAAATGGGAAATTTATTTATATCGTGCAAAAAAATATTTTGCAAAATAGCACCGTTTTTCATATATTAAGTTTTAATATTCAATTTATTCGGAAATGTGTAAATAATTTTTTCACCTAAACATGAACACACAAAAGTTATTAAAGCGTTTTATTAATTATTATTTTTTGGACAGAAATATAACTATTATTTGAAAAAGAGGCCATAAATACTAATCTTTACTCAATTTATTTTACTACTCAAAATATACGGGAATCGTTGTTTAACCACTTTACGTACTTTGTGCTCTTATGAAAGTACATGAAAGTGATAATTTAATAGTTTCTGGTAGATATTCTTCTCCTATTTCACCATTTTGTGTTTTAAAACCAATAATTTATTTTTATGATTTTCATTATCGCATAATAAAATTATTCCAGGCTTATTATTCTTTTCGTTTTACGCGCAGATCCATGACAGTGTCAGAAAACGATTTAGTTGAGAGTCGCAATGCTCTTAACCGCACAGGGCGTGAAATTCAGCAGGCAGCCAAGTATTGTAGCGGTTACTACTTGGCGGCCTCTTCAAATAGTCAACGCCGGGCGATTGATGAGACAATGAATTACGCCACTCAATCTCTAGGAACAATGATTCATCACATCAATCACCTGGCCAACGCTTTTCTTGCTCTTCTCGATGACCGCACCGAGAAGATTACAGAAGTTGAGGAGAAATTATCTCAACTTGCTATGGTAATTTTACGCCTCCCTCTTTTATTTTGCTCAAATTTTAGGAAGTGAAAATTCGCCGAGAGAAGGTTGCTCGAAAAGCCATCGGTACTTGCACTACTTCAAAAGCTCCTGTGAAATGTACTTTGACCAAAATTCGTCAAGATCCACCCGCTGAATATGTTCGCCGGCCAATTGATTACTCTCTTCTCGATCTTATTGGTCATGGAAGTAGAACTCACGTAAGTTATTCTGATAACGTAAGTTATCATCTTCACCATCGTCACATTTTGACATTATGTATGCATTCATTAGATGGATCGAATAAGAAAGAAATCGGTAATAAACTCTATGTCATTCATATACACTATCCCATCTCGCACTCGCTTTTATCATGCCTACTGTTGGTAGTTTTCGTATAGCTCGTGCACGTCATCGCTTACTACTGTCTTGTTCAGTAATAACCACAAGTCATTTCATGTTATTTCTTATTCTCTAAATTTGTGTCCTTTTAGGAACCAGTGTCGAGTCCCTACGTCGCACCGATAGTTCATGCTCAAACTCTGACTCGAAGAGGAAGTACGGCGACTTACCAGATGGGTGTCCATGGCAATACGATTAACCCCAAAGCTATGGGTATAAAGGGGGAATATGCGGCAACTTCAGTAACTACATCGGAGTATCAATGTAAACTTAAATTTTTTTCTTCGTTTTTAAATGAAATACCACCACACCTGTTTAGTTGGGATAGTGGCTTTTTGTACTTTGTTGTGAGGGATTTTAAAAACACAGTTGAATGTTTTTTTCTTAAATTTTCACTCTGTGATTGCTAATAGTGTTGATGGATATTGTCAGTTACAATTCACGATAGTGGTAAAATTCGAAGTGACGAATGGTTGGAGAACTGCAGTTATGACAAGCCTTTTTCCCGGTCTATGTGAGGTTATTTTTTAATTTGAATTTCTTTAATTGTCTTTCATAAGCCTATTCTATTTTGTTTAATTGAGCAGGGATTGTACAATTTTTAAAGTTGCCAATTGCACCCTACTCATGTATCTTGGTTTGTAGCAATCTTGTCTTAGATATATTATTATTATTATTAACTATCGAAAGCATTTATTGATGGCTAAGGTAGCGTGTCTGGAATCGTATAATGATTGTCATTTTATTATTGAATCAACTGTTTACATCTGCAGCACTTTGTGTATTTGGCTGGCCTAACCTGTAAGCAGTGGTATTACTTACCAATCTTGTTGCCACCTTTTTGTTGTTTATCTTTCGTTTATATGCCCCGTGTTAGTTTTCTTTAACTTAGTTTTTAGTCGTTTTTTATTTTTTTAAAATTTTGGTTATGTAAGGGTACAAAAGCGTTCATGAGACGTGCTATAGATTTGGTATTCTTCTTAAATTTATCTGTCATGTAATTCCAGAGAGAATATATTGATTAGATCACATCTTAATGTATCATGTTGCGCTCCGACTGTTAGCGATCAAATACGAACGTCAATTTTTTTTCCCATTTCCAAGTATTTGGACATCACTCAATTGCGTCTTATTCATCTAGATATGTGACTACACTGATCTAAACTTAATACTAATGTGAACCCTCATTCTAGCTCGGGGCTACTTTTTCATATTGTAATTGAGTGCAAGTCAACTCGATTAATAGGAAGTTCAGTAAATAATTTATGGTACAGGGCTGAAAGACATTTGGAGTCAGAGAGTATCTAAAGCAACCTTGCTAAACTTACCGTTTGAATTCGGGTTTTACAATTGTAACCTATTGAGAAGCTCCTAATTTATTAGCCGAATTACTTAACCAATTCTTTCTCACGACGTATAATGCTTATTGACTTTCATATTTCATGATAGTAAGAAGTTTGCATGATCTTATCATAGTAGAGCTGAGATAGCTGCATTTTATTTCCATACTATTTATGTTTGAAAAAATGAAAATATCCGTCATGATCACATTGTCTTCTGTTCATTTTAATATCTTTTGTGTAGCCGGAATGGTGGGTCGCCATGCGGGCATCTATCGCACCGGTATGATGGGTCACTACGGTATGTCTAGCAACTCCTATGCAACTAGTCAACAACAACAGACTCCAAGCCAACCCGGTCAGCAAGTGCTTGTCCCAGGAAATAGAAATCATCCACCTTCCAGTGGATCTGGTGCTGGGGGATATGCTTCGAATTCACTTGGTGGTCAGTCTCGTCGGTCTAGTAGTTCGTCAGGAAATCAGCCTCCTAGAAGTGCTGGTCCAACTTCTGTTCAGGGATATGCTCCCACGGGATTGCTTATGGCACAGCAAGCATCACAACAAGTTCAACAACAGCAGCCGGTTCCTCCTATGCCTATGGTGAGTGCTGTTTCAATTTGCAATTAGTGGTAATTGAGTTGACTTGCTAATATCCCGGTGATAGTCAATATGCAGTTCATGCTTGAAGGCGAAGCCCCACGCTTCTCTACTTTTTTGTTATTTCCTGTGCCTCATGTTCTATGTAAACTATCAAATAAAATATAGCTAAGTTTATTTTAATTAACAAGGAGCCTTTAAACAACAATTATTGTCTTAGTCCTACTTCTCTTCAGTCCATTCAGTTTAAATAAAACTGGTTAAATTGTGGTTCTCGATGTATCGCCTTTCGCTGTCAGCCTTTTTTAGTGCGACTTCTAGTGATGACTCATTCTTTCCATATCGTGGGTAATTTACTCCCATAGAATTTATTTCAGATACATTAGATATGAAAAACTATGTGCCTTAAATGTTTCACCTCCTTACGCCATTTTTGACTGCCCTATCAAATGTCACCGAACTTGAGCCCTTTTTTCCCTTGCTTTCGTTGAAATTTGAATTACATTTTGACAGGGCACGAAAGGTCACTTTCAACTCGACTTTTCTCTTTTGATTTTTCAAAAAACAAAACCCTCTGGGATCTTTATTAGTTCTCTGTTTATCCGCAGTTAAACTTACAATTTGACTTATATGTTTTCCACATTAGTAATCTGTTGGTGGTTGAATTCTATTGGGTTTGTTGTGAGAAACATTCTCAGCAATAGTACTTGGTGAGCAAATTGATATGTGCCGCGATTAAAAAATTTATTAAGCTTCTAATCGTAAAACTCGGGGCAATTTTTTCCCTCAATTATCCCATACCACCATCTTACCAACTCCCAATCTACCCAAAGTTGAAAGTTTGGAAGGTAACTGGTTATGTACAGAAAGGGCCAACGTGTATTAAGTTTCTTTACAACAAACAAAGTAACAGTCGTTCCAAATAGATTTGGGTCAATGTGTTCAAAATTATTGGTTGATTTATAAGACAAGGAGATGATATATGATGATTCGATGCCAGTCCATCTGTATCACCTGTATATATCTCCTTTCGCTTGGCCTCCTTTCATTCTAAAAGCAGTGAATCATTTTTTCTATATTTAAAAAAATCACTTTAAATTCACTTTCTTTACCCAGTCGGCTGGTTACGCAAGCAAGCAGCAAATCTTCCCTCTGAGCGATCAACGCTCACCTTCACATGAACACCAACAGCAAATGCAGCCTCCTCAGCATCAGCAACAAGTCATGTATGGACGTCAAATCTCTGAACAAATGGGGGGAGGAGGAGGAGTTCCTATTCAACATCATTTCCCTCCATTCCAGCAACCACAAGGACCTCCCACTCAAACTCAACAGCAGAGCCAACAGATGTTGCAGCCTCAACATCAGCAGTTTAGACCTGAGATAAAGAATGTAAGCGATTTTTTAAATGACTAAACTAGTGAAAACATTTGATAATGGTATTGCTATATATTTATATTTAACTTCAATGCGTTTAGTATGCATAGTGGTGTGTATACTTGAATGGGATATCTCTTATGTAGTGTCAGATAGGGGAAGGGATGGTTTCCATTTGATTTTGCCTACTATCTCTTTTAATTTACTATCAAATGGAGTACCATAAATCTGTTATGCTGAATGTGAGGCAATTAATTTATAAGTATTGTGGGAAAGGGACTTCCTCATCCTTGAACAAAATGTACTTCAGCTTTGAGCATTGTTTTGTCATCTTCCTATGCGTTCTCACTACCTTCCAGTTGAGTCTTATTTTGATTGGTTATTATTTTTGCTTTAGACAGCTTCAAGTGACTTGCCACCACCTCCGAATGAGATGCCCTCCCAGGTTGTCAGGCAACAACAACAACAGATGCCTCTTCAAGTTGACCCCAACTCTGGAATGATGTCTCACATCCAGCAACAGCAATACAACCAACAACCCTCGAGTAATGTTGGCGGAGTCGACTTGAGTCGTCTGCAACCCAGTCCTATGGATCAATTGAGACCTCGTCAACACAACGATCCACCATGGGCACCGCATCATTACATCCAGAAGGGTAAGTGATTTTTATGAGCTTTAAGGGAGTACCTGTCTGGTTTTTTCTAGTGAAATGCTAATACTTGACTTCTATGTCGTTTGTTCCATTTAAAAAAAATAATAGCTAAACTTGTTTATTGGGAACCTATCTTCATGTGTCATTTCATTTACTCTAATAGAGTTTTTAATGGAAGTAATCAGCTAGGTATCTGGCATTTTCTCTCGTTATTCAACTAACTTTATTTTCCATCAGTTCTCACTATAGCAGCAGAATGAAGGGGGGGGGAGATATGGGGTGTTGGTGCTCTTCTAGGTAACGTAGATCCATCAGAAGCCAAATATGGTCAAGTCAAATTTTTGCTGAAGGAATGAGTTTGCTATGAAGATATGACAAACACGATAGATAAATCTTTATTACTGCAGAAAATTAACTTACTGCAGTTCTATAAGGCTTTGTAATTACTAGAATTTCAGTTTATATTTTTTTGAAATTTAATCATCTCTAAATGTATTGCAAAAATTTGTATAGCCTTATTCTTTATTCAGCTCTTTTCACTTTTTTTCTTAGTATTGTTTCGCTATTCATACTTTGCCAGGTCCTGTTTCGTCTAAATTATACATTGATAATTAATTCTTGAGCATTTTAACAAACTAAAACTTCGAAGCACTGGCTTTTCATATTCGCTTTGCCAGTGCTTGTTATTTTTTAAATCATTTCACTTTAACCGTGGCGTGTTGTGTAGGCCAATTTTAATTGATTCGTCTGAAAAGCTGAAGTAACTTACCAGGTTTTGCATTCTTTAAGTTTTATCTGTTTGTACAGGCCCTTGATCGTCTTAAGTTGTATAATTTATGACTGTTATGGTCTTGCTACTAATGAAATATAAGTAGGCTTGATTTCATGACTGATCTACATCCTTTCTCCCTTTAGTCGTCACTGTGTACGAATATACGGCGGACAAGAGTGATGAATTAACCTTCGGCGAGAACGAATTGATTTACGTGATTAAGAAGAATGATGACGGTTGGTGGGAGGGCATCATGATGAACGGACAAACTGGCCTCTTTCCTGGCAACTACGTGGAAGTTATTGATTAATCAAATTAGTACCTGGTGTCGAGGACAATTCTCTTGCCCCTCTCTCCCTTCTTAATTTGCTCGTTTGATTCTTATAATGATGTTCTTGCATGAGTGAAATAGAACACCTTCTGATTATTAGTCCTTCGAATTAAAACTCTTCCTTTGATTTCTACAATTGCTAATATAAACCTACGAATATGCATTTGTGCCTACAATTAGAGATACTTTTTCTTATAGTGATATTTAGCAAAATCGAGTCAGATATTTTGAATTTGCTGAAAACTTAGATTAAATTGAAACGACTTGAAGGAAACGATTATGTTATACTATTGGTGGGCTGTGCTTTACATTCGCGTAAATTCAAAATAAAATAGTTTTTTTCTGTAAAGTTAGTCAAACTCTGTTAATTCCTTTTGAACGCTGATGTACTCAGATAGTATCACTTGTCTTACTATTTTGTTTCGTTGGGAGATTGGAACTGAATTCTCATAGTGTGATATTAAGTAACCTACTCTTTCGACAATCAGATAATTTGCTCGTCGATAATATTTACTAAAACAGACATGATACGAACACACAAGTAATATTTTATTTCAAATTTCTTCTTTAAAGACTATTGAGGGAAACATTCACAGCATTTAGCCGAGGCAAAGGAGGTATCCTGGAGTAAATGTTGTAAGAAACTCGGGGATTCTGTTCTCTCTCTCTCTCTTGTAACCACTAGACGGTCACCAGTGAGTAGTAATCTCGTGAATTCTGAACTGACAAAGTTTGCTTTGACCTCTTGCTCCATGTGCAGGCAGGATTGGTGCATTTACTTACACCACTCGAATCCTGCCCATTGAACCCTTGAAATGGAGATTCTTTTCAATCTCTGCTTTTAGCTTTACGCCCAATCACTCGGACACATGAATTTAAGATCTCAAGGGAATCGATGACCGTAGGCTGAAATTTTCTTTCCCTTTTAAGGTGATCGTTAAAGCATTCATCACCTCTTAGTTAAATTTGCTTCGCCACCGTTCCGAAAAGGGTATCAAAAACTGTTATAGCACCACCTATACTTGATAAATACCGCAAATATCTATAAAAACGGCATTTGGATTTTTGAGCTCATTGCATTTTAAAGCATGACGATTAATTGTAAATTTCTGAGCATTAAGCTGAAGCTGAGGAAGTGGGATTGACTTTGTCAGCTGCGTCACTTAATTTTCTCAAAATCAGGTTTTCCTGTCCTTTGTTTAGGATACTTACTTTTTGATTTATGGGCTGTTCTGAGGACATCGAAGCCTGTGGTCTGTAGAATGAAGTCTCTTACTAGAATTAGCCTAGTTCCCGGATAGATTGTATGTCAACCCTGGCGGCCTGGATAAACACACAAAGTACCTCTCATCTACTGGCCTAAATGCATGCAATCCTTATAGCTATAGCTGGCATAATTTAAAAAAAATTGTCGAAGCCATTCTTCGTTTCGCGAGCCATAGCTGTAGAAATGCTACTTTTTCGTTAATTTTCCCTTCCATTCTTGAGCCTGGTTGTGTTCCCTGGTTACTTCATATGATTATGCAATCCGCATCACTGTGCTAAAAAATTAAAACCCTAACATGATCCTGCCACAAAACGTCTCAGGGAATGATTCGTCATGTCAGCTCAATTGGATATCCTCTTCAATTCTATTCTGCACCTAACATCTACAAATACCCATGAAAATAGGGAATTTCGATATTACTAAGTGCATTTCATTAAAGGCACAGACATTTGGTAAAGATAATAGATAGCTTTATTTACACAGTTATAATATAAGATTCTTCGTTGATTTTTAGCAGTCCTGTTTTCTATCAGTTTATAAGTAAAAGCGGTAAGAAGTGGATAGTCTGTCTACGTAAAGTTTCGTCAGTACATTCCCTGTCTTGGACTGACGAACTCGGTACCGTTGTAGGCGAATTCTCGGTTGGTGTTTGCTGTTTTAGGCTCTAGAACGGAAGTAGTGTTCGCGTAAGCACTTCCTGCTATGCTACTCCCTCCAATCCCCGAACTGGAAGCTTGAATCATTGGACAGAAGATATTCGGCCGAGGCTCGGCTTCAAGGGCAAAGAAGCTTCCTTGTGCACTCACCCTACCCGAAATGGTTTTAGGAGGGAACTGCGTGGGGGATTGCATATTGGGAATAGACCAGATAGTATTCGATTTCTCGATCATTGTGTTCATCATCGTTGGAGATTGTTTCATCCTCTTCCCTCGTCGACAAACCCTTTTCCAAGCCTCGACTGTTTTGCCTGACCAAATCCAGAAGCCCGATGTTATACCCACAATGAGGGACATGAAGTACTTCAACATAAAGATGGCATATTCAGGGGTGGGAGGATTCCAATCAATATCGAGGGGTCTACCGTCATTTTCATTTCTCAAATCACACTGACAAGCCACGCCAAGTTGCCAAACCCTTCGCCATCGCAGTTCATGGATATAGCAAGCTATCACAACAATTGCTGGTACCGTATAGAGCAGGCCAAAGATGCCTAGTTTAATCATCAACTTCTCCAACTTGTCTGTACCGACTCGAGGTTGGAATTTAATAACCCGTCGAATGTTGCATAGTGCTACAAAGCCACCAAGAAGGAAGAAAGTACCAAAGCAAAAGTAGATAACCAAGGGAAGGATTAGGAAATAGATTAGATGATTGTCATTTGTCGAACCCACGTAGCATAATCCGCTAACAGGGTCACCGTCCACTGCTCGTAGCATGAGGATAACTCCCGTCTGAACTCCGGGAAGAACCCAGGCCACAAAGTGAAATACCTGAAAAATAAACAGCATGCTTGTAATCCAGATTGTTGTGGTTCACACGATTATAAATTAGTAACAGAAGTTAACAGATTAATTTGGATGATATTGAGTCATGATAACTCAGCTTGCCAAGGAAATCAGGCATAAAATTTTGCTAGCTTAGCTGCTACTTGGCAGTCATTCGTTTTATTTTCATGTGGCACTCGAATGGTTTTAATTCAGTAATATATTAAAGATATTTCATCTTTGATTTTCACAATATTTATAATGCTCCTTTTCAAAGTATAGCGGCCTCCATAATGCTAGTAGGACTTGAGTTCAATTTACCTTATCGAGGTTATTAGCCACATCAAGCACGTTAGACCCGCTGCCTAGTGGGAAGTAGATCAATGAGGAAATTGGTGCGACCATGAAGCTTTCTAGTGGAGGATTATGGTCGTGTTGTCTTGATTCCTCTCTTTGTTTCCTCTTTCATGCCATGCCCTTTCTTTGCATCTTATCGACTTTATACCATCACCACATGACTTCCCTAACTAAAGACTTATTTAGGACTTCTTTACTGTACCGTCTTCCCCCTTGTTATTGATAAGACATGTGAGAGTGCAATCTGAACTTGACAGATTTAGACAGGATGAAAAGGGAAAATGATGATCTTTCCGATTTTCTGCTGTCAATCATGCTTAAGGACCAATGCTACCACATTACTAAGCTGTGTTATATCAATTACTTTATGTGTAGTTTTGTTCCAAATTTCTACTTTCAAATTTTTTTACTAGATCGGAATCAATCAGCGTCTCGGTGTTATTTCAGTAGATACACAGTGAAATAACTATTAAACATAATAGTTAACAGTTATGTAGATTTGAGTTTAGACTTTTGAAACAAAATAAGGACTATGATATCTAGTCTTTTTATCTAGATGTGAACCCGTTTTGATCAATAACATTCGAATTTTCTTGCCGCGTTTGGTGTTGGGTAAAATTTAGCAAACATTCTTGTTAAAGAAATACGCTTCCTTTACTATTCAGCTTTTGAAGGATTTCAATAATATTGAGTTTAATAGAACCATTTACAACTTTTCACAAATATAGACAAGCAAGACCTGTCCTGCATCTTCAATGGGGTATGGGCCTCAACACTGCCCACTTAATATTTTACTATTGATACACCTATAGAAATTAGGATTAGTGATTCTAATCTTGATGACTGTTTTTTTACTCTAAATGCGTACTGGAATTTTATGCTAGAGACTAAGGTCCTAAAGGGTAACGAGATAAGGAGACGTTACACCTCAGTATCAAATTAAACGAATGTAAATTTCTACAAATATCATCATTATTATATACAGCTTTGCTTCTCAGAAAGAGAAAAGAAGTTTGTTGAATTTATAACGCTACCGCGATTAAACAAAAGAATCCCTCGCACGATGGATCTTTTTGACAGGCCTCCTAACCAATCAGTGATCAATATTCCGCCAGCACAGCTTTTGTTGTTTTTAATTATGAACCCCTTCTCAAGTTGAACCCCCCCCCTCACCCAACGCGGCTTACATTGTTCTCGAAGTTGTTTACGCAAACTAGCCAAATTTTTCGGACGACGTTTCCTAGAAGACTTTTCTACTATTTGAACTTCTGTGTCTATCACTGAGGTTTGGTTAAATAATTTGCTGAGTAGTATCTGCTATAAGATTTACTAAAACCTCTGGAGCTGATGGTTAGCTGCAAATAACTTTACTGAGAAACGTATCAAGTGGCAATTTCTTTCAGGAACTCAATCACCGGATTTTGATTGGAAAGTTACTAGGTGATTGTTTAATCAAATGGCTCAAAACCCGCATTACTTGATATAAATTTAAAGGAAAATGTTCTAAAAAAATTCATAGAAATGGACTTATAATTATTTATTTTAATGATTTCAAATGAACAAAAATGTGCGTAGTTAGTTTATTCCTAGTCAATAAAAATAACTCAATTACTCATAGCATAAAAAGTAAGTTTACTCTAATTTAGAACGTGCAACCTCTTTTCGTGAAAAAAAACATAGTTGGTCTACATAGTTATGCAAGTTAAAATCTTCATCAAACTTCATTCATTTCAGTTTTCTAGTTATGGTATCCAAAGTTTCTATCTATATGTGCTTGCCATGACAGCTCAACACAAATAGAAAGATAAAACCATTATGATGGCTAGGATTCACTGAAAAGTTGAGTATTGCCTACAAATTTATTGACAATCTGCTTATAAAGTCACGATGTTAGTGGGGCTCACCTGTGTGTACTTTGAGATTGCCTCATTGCTCCACTTCAGGCCCGCGGCAAGGAACCAAGTTACCGTCAGCACCACCCACCAAACACTCGAGGCCATTCCAAAGTAATAAGTGAAGATGAACACTGTTGTGCAGACGGCTTTGCCCACAAGGGAGTATTGTAGGATACTGGCCGAGAAAATTCTTTTCTGAACATTCTCTTCACTGTTCAGAAGTGCTTGAACTGCGGTACAGGCCACATTCTCATGCCCAACAGCCATTCTAAGGATATATCCCACAGATACAAAGAAGTAGCAAGTTGAAAGATAGATTATCGGTTGTCCAGGGTATTGAAATCTGCTTGGATCAGTTAGGAAAGTCAGCATGGTAATGATTGTAGAAACTGCACAGAGAGCAGACCATAACCACAACCAAAAGTCAACAAATTTCTTATCAGTCTCTGTTTGAAAGTGAATTGAGTAGCACGGAAGGGCGCAATTAGAGAATCCAAGTGTTGAGATCTGAGCGAGCTGACTATCGTTTCCCGGTATGATAGAGACAAACGGATGTCGGCAATCACAGGAGCAATTCAACCATGCTCCAGAAGTTTTCAAAGTTCCAGAATTTTCCCCAGAAACAGTTAATCTAGCTGCTTGTTCCAACTCTCGTGACATTTCATAATCTCTAGACAAAGGTTTATTCTCCTCAGTTACATGCGATTTCGAGGCCTCTCTAGCCGATTGAATGGATTCGAACTCAGCTTTTTCAGCATCGGTAAGATTTCTTTCCATACAAAGAATACCCTCAGGATTATTAAGTACTGGGAATCGATCGCATTGCATTTGGTCGGGCCACTTGAAGGCATAATACCCCATTATGGGTCCACAACCGGCTCTAGCTCGTTCGCAAACCGATCGACAGGGTGGCAGTGATTGTGCATAGCCTTCAATACAAATCGGTGTGTAGATAGAGCACATCAAAAAGCGCAGATCTGCGGAACAATTGATTTGGATCAGGGGATAGAATTGATGTGCCTGTAAGAAGGAAACAGCCACTCATGTAACTGATTAAGAAAATTTATCAAAACTCTAAACACTGAATAAAATTTTCAAAGTTAATAGTCGTTAACTAATCTGAAACCCAAGTATATTCAACTGTTAAGAAATAATTTTAAAAATCATTTTATTTTAAATGGTCACCCATTCTGTTTTCTACAGAATACTTGATTGTACTGGGTTTTTCTAACAACTCAAACCCACAGAAAGACCCATCAGTGAGGTTACAAAGTATGGGAAACCTTTTGACTAAAAACTCGGTCAACCAATGTTATTCATGGGATTTATTTGGTTAGCTGAAAAATCGTGCCTGCCCGCGGGTTTCGTCCCTTCCCATGTAAAGATTTTTGGAACACTGCCCACCTTTCCTCCCCACCTACCATAACCACAACTTTGGAATATAAATCACTGAGATACTTCCTATCTCCTTCCCACTTTTGTATGATACATGTGAATCAATTCTCCCTCGAAAGCCACATCAACGACCCAACCGCCCATATGGGGTGTTTTGGAAAGTATTTAAGCTGGTTGTGAATTGTGGTATGGAAACGGTCAAATTTGAATAATCAACATAAAATTTGGCAAACAACTGAATATCGCTAGTTATGAAAAATCGATTCTTGATTTGACTAGAATTTGCTTTTAAGGCACGCATCATAGTGACGTATAAACAAACCACGATATACTTTAGTTGTTCCGTTGTTATTGAAAAGCATCCAAAATTAATTGCAGATTCCAATGGCTTGGGTTAATCAATTAATTTATTTCACTATATTATATACCGATTTTGCCATCGGACGTTACAATGTAAGAATCCTTTGATAGACTACAATCAGTCATTTGAAAGATTATTCAAACCTACCTAAAAAATGATAGTACATGTGCTTGTGTGCAAATAGTTAAGCAAACCTTTGTGATCACATTAATAGTGACCTTGAACACACCGACAATTGAATTTGCCACGAACTCAAATCAAAAGCTCTCGCTGCACTCAGGTGAACTCGCAAGTTTCAGTCCTCGTGAAATATCGGATTTTTATCTCCGAAGTTGGCTATATAAGAATTGAGAGAATTGCCACACATGTAATCGCTAACTTGACAGCCTTTCACCTAGCTCATTCCCCTCTATCTATAAGCAAAGATGTTCCCTCGATAACAGAAAAATATGGTGTTTTAAAAAATTTGTTGCAGGAAATTACTTATCGGGCAATGACTAGTATGATCAATGTCCTTTTGTGTGGATTACAATTCTTCGAAAATTTTCTATTTTAAAATAATAGCTTAATGATATCTTCCCATTAGGAAATAAAATTGAGAAATTCTTACAATTAAAGTAAGAAATATAAAAAAATTAACTTGTTGGCTTAGCGGTGGTCATCCCAAGTTAGTAAACAACTAATAGACATATGCCGATTGACAATATTTATTTTACAGTTTAATCTGCAATTTTGATCACTTATGAACTAGACAACTATAAAATATGTATTATCAGGTTCAGCATAGTTTAGTAAGAACAGTTACAACACGGTACAAACTTCACTTAATTAAAGGAATTAATTCTAAGGTTATTTGAACAGATCCGCACTATGTAAGTTCATTAATAATCAGTTCTTTGTTTAGCAGTGACTGCCATTAACCTCATACACACACTTCTGTTAATATATGGGAACCTTAAGCTTCAATTAATAAAGATTCTTTGGATATAGCAGTTTTTGGATATTAAATTGAAAATGGGAATTGCTAACAGATGTCATTTGTTTGTACTTAGACTCAGTATTTTAAGCGCTTGGAAATCGTTGTAGAGAAAGCAAGAAAATTCAAGAGTCCATTGTGTCGACTTGAGCGGGGATGTATATACTGTTTCAATTCTCAGATGAAAAAGTGTCACCATTTCTATTACTTAGTTCCCATTGTTGTTTATATTCCACTATTAAAAGATAATCATGTGCGTCGTGGATTGTTTATCAATCTGTTTTAACAGTATTTTATCCTAACTGTTTATGTGCGAATTTATTGTGATCAGTCTTATCTGCTAATTTTTTTTATTTTTAAGAAAATGAGATTGCCCCTTGAGTGAGAGGTGTGATGTATCATGAGGGAAGCTGTCAGCACCTCCTGGAGCGAAGATTGACGTATTTCAGGTTCAATTTTCTCTGTCCTAACCCACCTACCAACCGATCTGTCTCCTGAAATGTCAAGCATCAATCAACTTTGCCTCCTATCTCCTGACTGGTGGTCAGGGCAACAAGCCATCGGAATAAGATGGATTGGGGATGGCAATGCTAATTTGAAATCGATAAAATTCTTAAGTTAGCAACAGAACAGTGACCGTGCAACTTAAGGCATTGATTAATTTCTAAGAAATGCATACACAAAATAGATTTGACCAAATTCCCAATTTAATGAAGACCCTAAACACATGGTCATGAGCTCTCATGTCAAAATGATAGTTGCTTGCAATTTGAGCTCACTTTTGGTGTTGGTAGCGAACGAATGGACCTTTTAGGGATTCAGATGACGTATAAATTTTTTACTTCAAATTATTCGCATTATTGTAATTACTTTAATAAACCCCAGTTTCAGTACTGTTTCATGCTTTCTGAAATATATGAAGGTAGAAGATCATTTAACATAAATTGTTATTTCCCATCTTTCACTGAATGAAATTAAAAAAATGTCATTTGTTCGAAAAGACTGCTGTACTAATGTCTACATTCAATCCCAAACGCTTGTTGAATCAAAAATAAGAATAAACGAAAGACTCAAACGTAGAAAAATCAATTCTCGATTAACGAAGCAAACAGTCATTTCACAATTTAGAATGGGGGCAGAAAAAATTGATGAATGCAAAAAATGTTTCAATAGCTGCTATATCTAGGGGGAGGAGGGGGGGGCCGATTCAATGACCTAGCAATTCAAAAAAACGGAATTACTGAAACTGTCTTTTATTGCTTCCTTAGGGTTGAAATTATGTATATTCGGATCACTTTCATTTGATTTCTTTGCTACAACTATAGGGCACACCAAAGTAAAAATAGAAGTCATAAGCCTCTCATCAGACAATTAAATATGCAGTAGTGTGTAGGATGCAAATTTGGTGATACTTTTCAGGCCTATAGTTTTGGAACTTCAAATTAAGGGCACAATAAAGTAAACCTTTAACTGTATAAGGACGAATTTGATGGGGTATGATGGATGCCTCAATTTAATCCATTTCTCAGTTAGTCCTGAGTAACTAACTCATTAATCAAAGGAATACTTTCTCAAATTTGTATAATGGAACATGAGGCTTAGTGCAGAGAATTACGCGCTTTATTTTAAAAGTGAATGACACTGGGGTTTTCTTGACTCTCTTTTGATTTCAACGCTCTTTCAAGATTTTTTGGACTAGTGGTCGTCCCCTCTGTTTAAATACCTTCAAGTTTCACGAAATTTGCGCTATTTTCTTTCTCATCAATGATAACAGTAGTTTAAATGTATAAAAAAGACGTTACGATACCTCTAACCCCGCCTCTTCTTGAGTTTCATGATTTAGGATATTTGGCATTCGGGTGTACTCATAGAAGGCGCCTTGACAAACTGGTACTGTTATCGGTTCGCATTGAGGAGTTGCATATCCCCCTGCATTCACGGCCTCTTCACTGATTGGTAGGCCCTCGATGTCTCGCCAATGACTTGGATCATGGGGATCAACTTGCCTCGAAACTCTGATGAGACTATTGTTCGACGAGATAACTATTTCTCCGTTTGTGGACTGAAAGAGGGCAATCAGTATTGCCAGTATGAATAGCATTCTGAAATAAAAAAGCAGAAAGAACTGAAGTAAGCTTTAGAGACAGTGCGAGTGAATACGATAAGACGCTTTTTATGACTATCGAATCCGAAAATATTAACAGTAACTCAAAGGGGGACTGAAATAATTTCTTAGTCAAAATCAGCTCTTTTAGATACTCCCTTTGCCCAATATAAAAAGGACTCGAAAATTTTAAAGAAAAAACTGTCAGTATTGGTATGATTCATTTCATCGATGTTCTAACTACCCATATATCTATCCCTTCACTCGTCACTCGATACCACCCATGGGAAACTTTCTACTGTCAATCATATGCTGCCTAGCATAGCTTTATCCCACCCCCCACCCCACCCCACCCCACCCCATCCCTCCCCCTCCCCCCCCCCTCACCAATCTCTTTTCTTCGACGAAAAATATACACATAGACCAATTTCAAGCCATTTCATTGCTTGCGTTGGTGGTGGGTGAGGTTGGAGGGTGGATGGGTGGGTGGGTGGGTGGAAGATAATTTTGAAATGACGAAATATAAAAACTCCAACTACTTCCTGTTGGTTTTCCAAAAAGTGGACAGGATATCCATTGACCAGTCAATCAAAGAAAACTGGTCGGGAGGAGCTGAGTCGAGGAAGGGGATGAGATTTTTAAAGGAATTGAAAAATTTTGTGAACAATTGCAATTGAAATAAATGAGTCAGAAAACCAAAGGTTTAAAAAATCAAAGAAAATCTCCAACTTTTTACAGTTAACTTATATTCTCCTCCATAAAAAGGTGTCATGGCACCTCCTTGATGGGGATTTAAATTTTTTCCACCCATTTATCAGCTAGATTTGACCGGAGATGCTGGTCACTTCACATCGATCTTGAAGATAATCACGTTAGGTCTGAACAATGAAAAGCCACTATTTCATTAGAATGGCATTAGATCAATAGACAATTTTGGTAGGGAAAAAGGCGCAGAAAAAAATCGATCAAAACGTTGACACCGACACGCACCTGTGAGACAAATGAGGAGAGAGATGTCAGGGTGGGAACTGAAATACGTGTTAAATAGACCAAGTCTAAAAATTGGGTGACAAATTGATCCAGCAACCTAAAGTCCAACTGGACACTAACGAGGTCTCTGCTAAAAGAATGAAGCGATTGTGAATTCATACCAACTCGTTTTGAAATGTAAATTTGAGTTTCATTGGTTGAAAATAATTCAATTTTTAATTTGCATAGTGTCCTGTAAAAGTTATTCTGAAATTAAACGCTTTATCATTACTGGTCATAACAGCGAAAGTCATGCTTAATCATGGAATAACACTTGAGCACACAAAGTAACACTTAATTGTTCCATGAATAAAGAACATCCAAACATCGGGACATCACGATTTGCGCTTCAAGTTATTACTGGAATAATTAAATCTCTATAAAGGACAAAGCTCATCGTCAACTATTGTTGAATTAGAATAAATAACAAGAACGAAGTAACTTGTAGTGTATTTGAATATATGTTTAAACGTATTAGTCCATTATGTTGCACAATTTTGGATTAAAATCTTCTTTTAAGGGTGTTTAGTAATTTTTGACTTTTGTGAAAGACTTTGGCAGCTATTCGGATATTGAGAAATGTTGAGGGCATATTATTTACCATCGCAAACCATTCCCCAAGACTAAGAGAGAAAGGCATTTTCGCTATCAATTTTTCCTTTAAGAAATTTCAATGAGCTTATCCATAAATAAAGTTTTGACTTTCAAAAAAAATAGGTTTGAAATGTTGTCTGATACTTCTCATTCAAGTCTCAAGACATTTTCTTAAACTCCTACTAAAAAATTGTACCCTGTATCTTGTCTTCTATATCAATCTCTACTGTAACTCCTGTTGAGACGCCAAGGATCTCATGAAATCAGAACTTTCAATCAGATATAGTGCAAAAGTTATTAATCTCAAGCACTCTTTGGAATCGTCCTGAAGTCATTCCGACACGACTGGCCTCTAAGACTACCGTGCCTTCCGAAAATCCCTGCCTTCCCGATCACCAGGCGAACCAATTATATTGCTTTGAGGAACATATATGTCTCATTCAGAACTCCTCAATTGTCCCCCCCCCCCCCCCCCCCCTCCAAGATCATTTCCCCCAAAATATTTTATTCCGTGCAATCATATTCGATATGCAACCATGACTGCTTGCCATTCTAACTAATCGACACTGGTAAATGATAAGTACCAACAATCCAAGAAAATAGGCCATACTAAGTCTGCTTCTTGCCCAAAACGTTGTTGCACAAATCAAGAAAAATCGAGTCGACGCAATCATCGCCTCAGAAAAGTTACAGGTAGATTCAATGCACGATCGCATGGATAGACAACTTTCACCGGGGGGCAAGCAAATGATTGCAACTTTTTAAATACTATTATCACTTTATTACGAAATGATCGTTGCCTTGCATAATTTTGGAGTAATGCCTTCCACTATTGAAATCCTATGAGACTTGGTGTGATTTCGAAGGTTAATTACGAGTATAATAGGGATCTGATAACAAACCTTCGTGATTTGATTCTTGGGCTTATGGAAGAGTTATTGTCCACGATATTCAGATTTTGATGTACAGTCTTCTTCATGGCATCAACTACGGATAGAAGAGTTAGCTTTTCAAGGTGAGCGGAGTTTATCAGACTTCTTTCTCTGGATTTTGAAGTATCGTCTCTTTTCCGACAAATTAATGAAAAAAATAAGTACTTTTCAAGAAAGTTCCCAATAGTTATTGCACGTTAAGTTTGGTTTTTCTTCGACACCGCCTAGAATGGTCAAGTGCTTCCTACTCTCACAAATGTCAGATTTGAAACATAAAAGAAATTTGAGCAGGATTTATATCGTCAGAGTAGAAATGGCTAGAGCATGACTCACTTCCTCTTGCTACACTATTCGGAAACTAGATAGTGTCTTGTGCTGAAACCGTGGGAAGTAGTGAACTGGAAAACCACAAAATCAACAAAATTGCAGAATGGAGAAGTAAATAGAAATCCGAGAAAAGGTAACCCCGATGATTATTCAATTTGAGTGGCTAAAATTAAAATGGCATTTATTCGGCACAAATGAAGGGAATCGGCAGGATGTCTGTTAAAGGCGAATTTTCTGCTTTCTTCCTGTTGGCTTGAGCAACTGTTGTCAGTTGCAGCATTAAGTGTTTTACTCCGATAGAATGTTGAAATCGATCCAGCAGAGTAATACTTTCAGTCTCAAGCTTATGCAGAGAGGAAAAACCTTTATATCTGTCACCTCCAATATGAACGCCGATGCTAAAATCACTATAACTCATATAATCCTAATTACTGGAAACAAACCTCCAGAGTGATTGGGCAACGGTCTAAATTATTAAATAGCCGCGAACAAGAATTCACTCAAGGATTATGGAACAGGTGTTGAAAGTTGAACACTGAAATTTTGTGGATGGTCATTTCAACTCACGATACTCACCTATATAATCTGAAATGACAGTAACGGACACGTGAGTTCACTCTTATATGTCACCATTGATCCGCCACTTTTGAAAAACAAATATTTCATCATGGATCTTGAACTGATGTTCTCTAGAAAGTACTTATCCAAGATCCATAAACGTAGTCGGTAGCAACACTTAATTGAGGTTCGGAAAGGCCAGTTTGGGGCCAGTCTGATTAGAGACTCATATGTTATGAGCCTTGTTGACCACTAAGCCACCTCTTCACTGTGTCTAACACAATTTATTTTGTTTTCTGGTGTTGGGGAAATGTTTTGAATTAAATTCACTTTTTTACTCATAATTACTTAAATTTACAATCATAAATAAGGAATTTTTTTCTCCTTTATTTATCGGTAATTGAGGCTTAGTCACAGAGTTCTTCTTGTCAGAATGCAGAGAATAAATGGAATTATTCACGCGAAATTTCTCCTGTCACGGGCTACTCAAGTTGAAAATTTAGCGGATAAATCAAAAAGAGCAATTGGATGGAAGCCCAAATTTAAGAAATGCAATCTACCGCATTGGGATATAATTTATCGCCTCCAATCTGTCATGCCATTTCAGAAGGAATTTTACGCTCAAAAGAAGCTAAGATTTCCTTCACTACGCTCGAGTGTAGAAAGGAAGCACAACTTGATGGGAAACTAATCAGCCTCCCTCCTGACAAGCGTTAATCAGTTTTGATAGAGTGGTAGGAGGTATCAAGTATGCTTTTTTAGTAATATGACGAGAATTTGGTTCATTTTGACAGACAAAGTAAATCCATACTTTGAAAGCTCCACGAAGGAAGAGATGATTTATAAATAACCAATCTACTGTAGTGCGTATATCATTACCTATTATAAAGTACAACACATATTCCTTTTGACTGAATGGTGTCAAAGTAAGGCATGTTGATAAATATTCTGCAGAAAATTCCATGTAATTTTGTAGGAAAATGGTCAGTCAGAACCGTCAAAGAGGCTAAGATATAAATTCACCTCAACAATCCTGAAATCCAATTCAACTATTGATACAGATATTAAAGCAAATTTAATGCATCAGAAACATGGTGAAAGACGTAAGGTCTCTACCAATCTTAACAGATCCGCATATGGAAATATGCATTATGCAAACGAGAATAAAGGAAAACAACCAATAGACGAGGAGAAAAGGCGTATGAAGATCCGGCAAAGCTATGGAGCTCAATAATCAGATATTAAGTTAAGATAAATAATAAGAGCTTTAGTTACTTCCTTAATCCTCTATCTATGCCATCAACCTATATCATTCTGAGTGACCTTGAGTCTTTTATCCCTAAAACATCAGGATATTAATATTGCCAAACATAATCAAAGTTAATCCATGAAAAATAAGAACCTTTGTAGCACTCAACAGCTCCCTAAATGGGAAATTGATGGTAACGCTTGCGCAGCAAACTAAGGTAGTTTACCAAGACAAAAGATTCCAAATTAGAGCACCAGTGGAACAGTTGTTGCGGCTCAAATGGCCAACATTAAGGCAGAGGTAGGCGG